TTCCACGTCTGTCAAAATGATGGGTGGGAACGTGGCCTTGGGAACAGTATCGCCACTAGCCGCATAAATCGCCCACATTAAATCTCAATCGCCACTATTCAGATCTCAACCGCCCACTCAAAAATTCTTCGTCATCTTCTTCGCGAAAAATTCTCAAAAACCTGCAAGAACCCTAAGCCTTTATTTCTCAAATTTTCACCCAAATTTCTGAGAAAATGAAGGTTGTCGGTGCAAATGTCCACTTTCAGAAGTTAAAAGCCAAGTGCTCATCTCCAACATTCTTCCAAAACTATCTGCAGATGATAGCCGCTCAAGAACTCTCCGAATTTCTTCAAATGGAGATTCGCCTCAAATTCGAGGAAGAAGTTCTTGAATTCTACAGAAATGGAGAAATGAAATCTGCTCAGTCAAAGAAAAATCCACAGAGCACATTTCCAGTCATCAAGTCCACTGTTGGAGGCTCAAAGATGAAGCTTTCGCAGAAAAAATTGGGAAGAAAGCTTCGCCTTCCCAATTCTGGAGTTGAAGTTGGGAAATTTCCAGTCAAAAATCTGGACTGGAACATCATTGGAATTTCAGGGCGAACTCCTTCTGGCCCAGCAAAGAAAGAAGATCTGAACAACGATTACAAGTTGATTTTGGAACTGGTCATCGCCTGCCTCGAATGTGGGAGTGGAGGTCATGCCGATGACATCACCCAGGAGAGAGCCTTCATCATCAACGCTCTCATTACCAAAACTAAGGTAGACTGGGCTGCACACTTTTTCAATTCCATCTCAAAGCATCTGGGAAAGCCCAACCAGAAATATCTTTGTCAAGGACTATACCTTGGACTTATCTTGGAGTCTATGGGTATTGCTTCTAAAGGAAAGAAGTATGGAGAAAGATACTGGCTATACTACTTATCCTCCAAAGGAGAAAACAGAGCCAGTGCCAGTACCACTGCAGAGGATAGCTCATCAGATAATGTCCTACTCATCCATATGGCAAAGACTGCCAAAAGAAAGCAAGTGGTGTCCCCCTCTCCCTCCATTGAAGCACCACAAAATCTTGCCTTGGTATGTTTGGAAGAAGAAGAAGAAGTCTCTGACCATGGAGAACTTCAAAGGAAGAAGAAGAGAAAGATCAACTCTTCATCAACATCCAAAGATGTCGATTCGGATGAGTTGAAGGAGAGGGAAACTGCTGAGGAAACCTCTATTCAAAACCAGAGCCCTCAACAATTTGAAGAAGAAATCCCTCTAGTCCAAAGCCTTCCAACCTCATCTCAGCCTCATACAGATGATGCTGACAACAAATTCTGGCAGCTCTACTATAATTGGAGAGCTTGGAAAGTTGGAAATTCAGAAGAGCAACTGTTGGATTGGGACCAACAGCTGAAGAATGAACAGATTATCAAGAAATGCCTAGGACTACCAGTCAACCACTGCTGTGAAGACATCTTGGATGACTACTGGGTATGGCAAAGGAACAATGAGGATCTGCATCTGGAACACTTGGCCACTACACCAGTTTCAGACTTTGAAGCAGATGATGAAGATACTGCAGTCTACAAGCCAGTCTTCTCAAAAGCCACAGAAGATCAAATGGCTCCCACTTCTGAAGAAATAGCTGTTTTGGAAACAACAGCTGAGGATTTCCCTATCTTTACGGAAACCTCACCTGCGTTCGAAATGGTTCTGACTGAAACTGTTCAAGAGAAGGCAGCCTCTCCCCCACAAGAGCAGAACCAGGAAGCAACTGAAGAAGAAGAATTTCAGCGACTGATCCAATCTCAAGTGCTCGAGATCCTCACAACTCCTTGTGAGATCTCCAATCAGACACAACTTGAGATTCTGGAAAAGTCAGCAGAAATTCCGGAACAGTCAGCTATTCCAGAAATTATGGAGAAAGAAGTAGAAGTCCAAAGGCACTCTGGAAAAGCTGAGAAGGAATCTCAGATGGCAGAAGAGGAGGTCTCTCAAACTCCAATAGCCATTTTTGAAGAACCAAATGAAGCTGAAGATAGTGACTCACTCTCAAGATACATATCAAATTTTGCACTTGATGAAGCAGAAGGAGAATCTGAGAGGACACTAAAGATCACTGATGA